TTTTTAATTAAAAAAAAAAACAACCTTAAATTTTGGATGCAAAAACCAGATTTCAATTAGGCTGAAAAAATAATTTCAGAATCACTAGGGATAAAAGCATTTTGATGGATTATATAGTAATATTAATAAATAAAGTTATGCACAGATTACTTTTCAAACAATCTACATATATTATAAATAAATTTTATTGTTTCATTACTGTATCTTTTTTTCAGTGATCCAAAAGGCCTTGGTGTCATCCTTATGAATTTTTTTTTTTGAGACAGTGTTTCCCTCTGTTGCCCAGGCTGGTGTGCAGTGGCACGCTCATGGCTCACTGTAGCCTCGACCTCCCAGGCTCAGGCCATCTTCCTACCTCAGCCTGCCAAGTAACTGTTACTACAGGCATGTGCTAACACGCCTGGCTAATTTTTGTGCTTTTTGTAGAGTCAGGCTTTCACCATGTTGCCCAGGCTGGTCTTAAAGTCCTAGGCTCAAGCAATCTGCCCACCTCAGCCTCCCAAAGTGCTAGGATTACAGGCGTGAACCACTACTCCTAGCCTCATCCTTATGATTCCTAATTATCATAAATGTATCAGTTAATATGGAGCTAAATTTAATAAAGCCTATACAGCACATTCTATGCCCTTGTGATGTGTAGGGTCTCTTTTCAAAATAACTAATGAATCCTTAGGACAAAAAACATTCAGTGAGCACCTACTGCTGGCAAGTTTCTGTGTTAATCACTCAGTTCTTCTCATACATGGTCTGGAACTATAGCTTGACATTTGAGCCAATTGTCATTGGACATCTATCTAGGCCAGGTGCAGTGGCTCACTCCTGTAATCCCAGCACTTGGGAAGGTTGAGGCAGAAGGATCACTTGTGGCCAGTACTTCAAGACCAACCTGAGCAACATAGCAAGACCCCCATTTCTACAAAAAATAAAAAATAATAAATTAGCAGGTCATGGCAGTTTGTACAATAAATTAGCAGGTTATGGTGGTGCATGCCTATAGTGCTAGCTACTCAAAAGGCCGAGGCAAGAGAATCATTTAAGCCTAGCAGTTTGTGGTAGCCTGAGCAACAGAGCGAGACCTGTCTCTAAAAGAAAAAAAAGTTAGATGTCTGATAAAAGATCTACCAATAATCTTTTAGTCCTAAATAAGTGTATGTATATACATCTATATATAAATGAAAAGTTTATAAGAATGTATTTTAAAAGTATCACTCAAAAGTGTATGCTAATTTTATGGCATCATCTATATCTTGCTGATTGAGAAAACAAATTCTGCTCATATTCAATGGATATTTTAATGGACTAATTGTGATCCTGAAATCTGCTTATGTAAATTTAATAGTTAAAATTTTGCTTTACATAAAAAAATGAAATCATATCCTTTGCAACAACATGGATGCAGCTGAAGGCCATTATTTTTAGTGAATTAACACAGAAGCAGAAAACCAAATACCACATGTTCTCACTTACGAGTGGGAGCTAAACACTGGGTACACATGGACCGTTATGAATTCATGTGACCCCAAATTAGACACTGGCAACTCCAAAAGGGGGAAGCATGGGAGGAGGGCAAAGGTTAAAAAGCCACCTATAGGGTACGACACTCATTATTTGGGTGACAGGATCAATAGAAGCCCAAACCTCAGCATCACACAATATACCTATGTAAGAAACCTACACAAGTACCCCCTAAATCTAAATTTTTTTTAAAAAAATTGGCTTTAAGTGATAGTCTAGCAAAAAATAGCCAATAACATTTTTGTTTCCTAAGCTTTCTTTTTCAATTATACAATTTAAGTGCTTAAAAAATTACTGACTTTTATCAAAGAATTACTAGCCCCAATCTCCTACTTAAAAAATTTATTTAAATAAAATGCATTACAATAAACATAAAAAAGAGTACTTTTTCAGCAGTATTTTAATTGAATGCAACAAATTCTGAGGGCCTTCTATGAACCAAAAACTGTCCTTGGCACTTAGTGTACAAAAACAGGACATAGTCTCTGCCCTCCAGAAGCTTAAAGGCCAGAGGGGGAATAAACACCTAAATCGATAAATAATTTCAACACAATGTGGTAGAAGTATCCACAGAAAGAAGAGGTCTTTAGCCGAGGTAGAGGAACATGAGGGACTGGGTAGGGGTGATCGCCAGAAGGCACTAGGAGGAGGTCATCAGAAGAAGGTCATCATACAGCCTTCATGGTGATGATGTCTGAGCAGTCTTGAAAGATGAGTAGGCATAACCAAGCAGAGAATGGGTGAACATAATAGCAAAGACATGGAAGTGTGAAATAGCATATTGGATTATAGGAAGCACAAGCAAGAATTTTGAAAATTTATGTTCTACCAGGATCCCATGGCCTTTTTTTGGCTTTTGGTCCTTAAAACCTTCATATTTCATCCTCTATATGCTCACAATGGAGGGGGAACAAATTCCATCAGCTAGAGGACTTATCTCTGTTAATCTCAACCATCCAGAACATGGAAAGGGACCCGAAACAAAAAACTGCTACTACAAAATCCATGTGGTAAGAAATAGAAGCTGACATCAAGAAGAAGACAAAAATTGTACAATATCCTGGGAATATTTGGTGTAGGGGCATTCAGCTTTACATAGCTCAAAACCCCTGTGAAAATATACTATGGAATAATACACGATCTGATAGAACAATGTCTCAGAGTTGCTGAGATAAACTTATCTCTTGTGTACCTTGCTTATAAAGCAGGGGGCTGTGTAATAAACATACTTAGAAAAATCTTTACCCAATATTGTTAAAAATAAAAAGGCTTTACATTAAATAGGAAGTCTGCCATTATCTGTGAAATTCATGTTTGTGAACCACCTCATTTCCCAACCATATCAGACAGAAGAGATGTTAAAGTACAAATAATAAAATTTAGCGATTCATAAAGAATCTTTGGGTAGAAAATAAAGTTGTGAGAAAATTAAAAAGAAATTAAAATTAAAAAGTTATAGCTTCTGATTTAGTATATGCATTAAAATCTTCATTTCTACATGACAAGATTTCTATTTCAAAAACGTATTCATCTGATATCTTCATACAAAGTCTCAATAAATTAATTAAAAGATAAATGAATTTATTAAATGACTTTATATGCTGAACGAATGATATAATAAACTGCACAATAAACTGTTATGAATCAATGTGATCCCCAAATTGAGCAGAAAATAAAGGTATTCCATGAAGTATTCTACTTTCTTACATTGCCAAGAGAGGTATACACTACAGACCAAATCTCTATTCTAGACTGAGATCAAAACAAGATGATATAAAAATACTTAGTTTTAAATATCAAAAACATGGGTCAGATTAGTCAATTTTTGGTAGCTATAATGAACTAGATATTTTACCACATCAAATATTCTATCCTCAAGGACCTGACATTAAAACAGCCAAATTCACATAATTAATCTTTTTAAAATTTAAATGTTAAAAGTTTTTGCATTAAGTATACTCTATACTATCTATTTCCATGGACCTATAAATTTAATCTAATCATGTAAACACAACTTTTTAAAATCACTGATCTATATTCTCTTTCCATTTATAATTTTTTATACATTCTGAATTAAATTCTACACAAGTTTTCATTCTTTTCTTCTTCAGGGAGTCTTCATCCAGGCTTATTAAATATCTGTATTAGTACACCAATAACCTAAGATATGCTGTTTATTTTCTTTATTTCACATTAAATAAATGAATTTGGAAGTATTAACATTTATAAAGAAATACTCCAGTTTCTATGGATTTGCACGGTTCTGTACATTATCCTTAATATGTGGTATGGTTAAGTCTAGGAAAAATAGTGTCAAAGTACTGATTTATAATTTCATAAATACAAATAAATCATTTTGTAATAAAGCATAAGAGCTTTTCAACAATTATTTTTCCCATTGTATACAACAGCCCGATTTCCCCCCTTGCTATTGGCCAGTAAAACCTTTGTTAAAAGTTACACTTCAATAAACCATTATTTAAATGTTAAAATGCAAAAAAAGTTTTTTTTTTTTTTTTACAAACAGTGAATGTAATCAGACTATATAAAATGCAAACATTTTTAAGTTTTTAAACCCTAATAATTAAAAAATTTAAAAGCATAAGGTTTTTGATATTTTAATAACTTCATATACTCTAAAAATAAAGCTGCCAAAGATCAGTTCATTGTTAGAGATCCTTTCATTCTTATGAAGAAAATATCCACAATCTTCATATTTATCAAAGTAACCTTTTAGTTAGGTGTCAATATCTCATTTTAATAGAATGAAATTCTGATTTTCTAAATACCACCATCCCCCTGAGTTGAGATGCATTAGCCATTTTCAAGGTTTTAGAAACACTTGTTGAAAAGACCACTGAAGAGTTTACAGAAGCAGTGTGAAATTTTAGGTGGCCCAAGGAAGCACAGAATAAAAAATGTTTGAGAAGCGAGGATAGTTTTATGACTTTCAAAATTAATTCAAATGAAGCTCTTGATGTGAACTTGATTTTTGCGTTGAGTAAAGATTTATTAGAAGATCAAGTTCCAAGGGAAATGCAAGTGCCAACCCCTTTCAAATGTACCTTTCCCGTATAACACCATTTACCCTTGGAAGAAAACAAGTCACTCAGATTAGCCCAATTCCAATGAACACTGAGGCTATACGAAGGAAAAAAATATCCAAAAGGGTTGGTTATTCCACCCCAGATTTGCAGCCATTTCAGGGACACCCCTTAAGTGCTCTTCCTCTGCAGACGTAGGGTTGACCCCCCATGTCTGACAACCCTTTAGAAATAAAATTGCAAAGAAGTTATCACTTTCCAAAGAGCGGAGGAAGGACAAGTGAGAATCGACTAGCTTTGCCCTCGGAAATACCTCATATTTACTTTTGACAAAAGAAATAAATAGAAGCAAAACCGAGATTCAGAAGAAACTCTTTCTGCTGCCTGCACCGGTCAAGCTTCTCAAAGACCTGGGAGAAAAGAAGTGGGCTGCAGGCTCACCTTCCATGTCGCTGCTGGGCCGGGCTGGAGCTGCTGCTTTGGCTACCCGGCCTCTCCACGTGCTCCTGCCGTCGCCGGGACACAGCTCGCAGCTGGCGGGAGATTCCCGGCGCGGGGAGTCCCCGGGATCCGGCCGCCGCGTCGGCGCAGACTGAAAGGGGCAGGAGCCGGCGACCTGCCGGTACGCGGGGTTACAGCGGCGCTGGCTGGCGGCGGCTTTAAAGGACGCTGTCCGCGGAGTGCCTCGGGTTCCGCGCCTCCAGCCCCTTTTTGAATGTCAAACCCAAGGAACCTTGACAGGATGGAAATGGCACATCACTAAATTGTCTCAAAATGTCTATTTTAGAAGGATAATGGATGAGAAGAGTAATACCACACGGAGGGTGGAGGGTCTGCACTGGTTTCTTGGCAAGCTCAAGTTCAGACGTTTATCTTAAATTGAAGAAGATCTGGAACTTTTTGTCTATATTTGGTGATAACAGCCGTGAAAAGTACCCATGAGAACTCCCTTCTTTCAAAGTATTTTTTTTTTCCTTCCTCACTTTTTCATTTCACATAGTAAGAGGCTTTGGTCCAAGTTTTTAGAAAGACAGTCCGAATGGATTTTGGCACTTTTATCAATCCAAATGTTTGATTTTTGGAAGCAATTATGTCACTTTTGTTTTCCCTCTGGGAACTGCTTGGTTTATTTGCCACCACTCACACAATACTACCCGCTCTATATAAATAGAATGAGTGTTTAATAGAGTGTGTTTATTTTCTCTCAGCCTGCCTTCTTCCAAATAGACACCTTACAAAAATACATATATGATGTTTCAGAAAAATGAGCAAAGAAAGTAGAGCTAAGGGTGGAAGGTGGGGGTAATAAGATAGGAAAATTAACTTAAAGATGTTAGTACACAGATATGTACCAGTCAACGTCTTTTCCCAACATCCTCCCTACTGTCTAGAGAAAAAGCACACATTTGACTGCAGAGAGAGGCAAGGGGACATGACCACACAACTGTTTTCAAAGCAGAACTTTTCTTCACATTGAGGTCTAAGGGACATTGTTCAGGTGAGCCCTTCTAAAGATACCCAGTGTGCTGGACAATACACGAATGAGTATCAAAAGGCCACTGTCACCCTTATTAGAAAATCGTATTAGTGTATACAAATATATTTGAGACTTAAGGTTGAGAATTTATGCATCAGCTGACCATATCAGAAGAAATCCACACTTACAAGTTAAAGTATGCATGCTGTAATTTTATGAATTGTAGTTTTAAACAACAGTGTGTTGTTGGTATAGGCAGTCTATGTTATGTGTGTATATATCTTTAAATGAGTGAAAAACTGCACTGGCTTTAAGCACCATGGTAGCATCTCTATAAATGCATAAGTTGGGAGTTCTACAGGACATCCATTTTGGAGAAATATTCTAAACACTAGGTCTAATTTTAGTACTGAAAGGGGAAATTTGTTGTTTGTTAGTTTCTAAAAGCAAAAATAGCATGTCAAAAGTAGCAGAAGAGGAACTGTAAAATTTCACAGGGATGGTATGAGGATGAAAAGGTATTTGGTTATTAAAAAGTTGTAAGCCTGGCGCAGTGGCTCACGCCTGTAATCCCAACACTTTGGAAGGCCGAGACAGGAGAATCATGAGGTCAGAAGTTAGAGGCCAGCCTGACGAACATGATGAAATCCTGTCTCTACTAAAAATACAAAAATTAAATTAGCTGGGCGTGGTAGTGCATACCTGTAATCCCAGCTACTCAGGAGGCTGAGGCAGGAGAATCCCTTGAACCCAGGAGGCAGAGGTTGCAGTGAGCTGAGGTCGAACTACTGCACTCCAGCCTGGGTGACAGAGCAACACTCTGCCTCAAAAAAAAAAAAAA